GTGTGATCTTTTGTGTCTGGCTTCTTTCGCACAGCAAAACATTTACAAGGTTCATGCTTTTTGTGACTGATTAATATTCCATTGTATAGGTATACGACATTTTCTTTCTCCGTTTATCAGTCAATAGATATTTGGTTTTTTTCCCACATTTTGGCTATTGTGAATAGTGTTGCTATGAGCATTTGCGTACAAGTATTTGTTTGAGTACCTGTTTTCAATTATTTTGCGTATATATTTGGGTCATATGGTAACTCTATATGTTTAACTTTTTGAAGAACTGACAGGTGGCTTTCCAAAGTGGCTGCATTATTTTACATTCCCATCAGCAGTGTAGAGGGTTCCAGTTTCTCCACATCCTTGGCAACATTTGTTGTTATGTAGCTTTTTGCTTATAGCCATTCTACTGAGTGTTAAAGTGATATCTCGCTGTGGTTTTGATTTGCATTTCCCTGATGGCCAATGATGTTGAGCAACTTTTCATGCGCTTATTGACCGTTTGTATATCTTCTTTGGAAAAATGTCTATTCAAGTCTTTCACCATTTTAAAAATTGGGTTATTTTTCTTTTAAATGTTGAGTTGTAGGCATTATTTATATATTCTGCATACACGTTCCCTTATCAGATACATACTTTGTAAACATTTTCTCATATTCTGTAAGCTATCTTTTCACTTTCTTGATGTTCCTTGAAGCACAAAAGTTTTTAATTTTGGTGTCCAATTTATTTTTTTGCTTGTTGCTTGTGCTTTTAGTGTCTAAGAATCCATTGCCAAATCCAAGGTCACAAAGATTTACCCCTATGCTTTCTTATAAGAGTTTTACAGTTTTGACTCTTACGTTCAGGTCTTTGATCCATTTTGGGTCAATTTTTACATATGGTGTGATGTAAGGATCCAACTTCATTATTTTGCATTAGCGTGTCTAGCTATCCTAGTGCCATTTGTAGAAAAGACTATTCTTTTTCACCCTTGATGAAAATCGCTTGACCATGGAAATGTGGGTTTATTTCTGGACTCCCAATTCTGTTCCATTGATCTGTATGTCTATCCTTATGCCAGTACTGCACTGTCTTGATTATTGTAGCTTTGTAGTAAGATTGGAAATGGGAAAGTGTAAATCTTCTTTGTTGTTTTCCAAAATTGTTTTGGCTGTTTTGAGTCCCTTGAGTTTTCACATAAATTTTAGAATCAGCTTGTTAATTTCTACAAGGAAGAGAGTCTCTTACAAGTCTCTCTGCTAGAGACTGTGGTGAATCTGTAGATTAAGTTGAGGAATATTCCCATCTTAACAACATTAAGTCTTATGATCCATGAACATAGGATGTCTTTCCATTTATTTAGGCCTTTAATTTCTTTCAACAATATTTTATTTGAATATGTTTTCAGAATGTTTTCTATTTGTTAAATTTATCCTTAAGCTCTTAACTTTTTGATGTTATAAGTTGTTTTCTTAATTTCAATTTTAGATTTTTCATTGCTACTGTATAGAAATAAGTTGATTTTGTCATATTGACCCTATATCCTGAAGTGCTGCTGAACTCAATTATCTGTTCTAATTTTTTTTAGTGATTTCATAGAATTTCCTGTATACAGGATCAGGTCATCTCTGAATAGATACAGTTTTACTTCTTTTCCAGTTTAGATGCATTTTATGTCATTTTTTTGGCCCGACTGCTCTGGCTAGATCCTCCAGTACAATATTGAATAGAAATGTTGAGAATGGGATTGTCTTGTTCCTGATCTTAGTGGGAAAGTATCCATTTCTTCACCATTACGTGTAACATTAACTATGGGTGTTTTGTAGATGTCCTTTATCAAGTTAAGGAAGTTCCTTTCTATGTTGCTGTTTTTTTTTATCATGAAAAAATATTGGGCTTGTCGATTGCTTTTTATGCATCTATTGAGATGATTGTGAAACCTTTTTTTTTTTTTTTTTGAGACAGAGTCTTGCTCTGTCACCCAGACTGGAGTGTAGTGGTGTGATTTTGGCTCACTGCAACCTCCGCTTCCCAAGTTCAAGCCAATTCTCCTGCCTCAGCCCCCCGAATAGCAGGGATTACAGGCATATGCCACCATGCCTAATTTTTGTATTTTTAGTAGAGACGGGGTTTCACCATGTTGTCCAGGCTGGTCTAGAACTCCCAAACCTTGTGATCTGCCCGCCTCGGCCTCCCGAAGTGCTGGGATTACAGGTATGAGCCATCGCACCCAGCCAATTGTGAAACTTAAAAAAAAATTATATTGATACAGTGTATTACATTAATTGATTTTCAAATATTAAGTCAACTTTCCATTCTTGGAATAAATTTCCCTTGGAGTATAATTATTTTTGTATGTTGCTGGATTGCACTAGCGTATGTTGAAGATTTTTGCATCTGTATTCATAGGAGATATCGGTCTGTAGTTTTCTTTTTCTTGTGATATCTTTGTCTAGTGATGTCTGGGCTTTTCTTTGTAGGCAGTGTTGGACAATTCAATGTCTTTAGTTGTTATAGAGCTATTCATATTTTCTCTCCTTTTGAGTCAGTTTCAGTAGTTTGTGTCTTTCTAATAATTTGCTCATTTAATCTAAAGGCACACAATTGTTCATAGTACTCCTTTATAAGCCTTTTTATCTTCTTTTTTTTTTTTTTTTGAGACAGAGTCTTGCTCTGTCGCCCAGGCTGGAGTGCTGTGGTGCAATCTCGGCTCACTGCAAGCTCTGGTTCCCGGGTTCACACCATTCTCCCGCTCAGCCTCCCAAGAAGCTAGAACTACAGGCACCCGCCACCACGCCCAGCTAATTTTTTGTATTTTTTAGTAGAGACGGGATTTCACCATGTTAGCCAGGATGGTCTCGATCTCCTGACCTCGTGATCCACCCACCTCGGCCTCCCAAAGTGCTGGGATTACAGGCGTGAGCCACCATGCCCGGCCTTGTTTATCTTCTTTATATCTCTTCTTTCATTTCTGATTTTAGTAATTTGAGTCTCCCTTAGTTTAACTAAAAGGTTTGCCAATTTAAAAAATCTTTTCAAAACCTAGCTTTTGGTTTTGTTTTTCTCTATCGCATTTCTCTTCTCTAGTTCATTTGCTTCCATCTTTATTATTTTCTTTTAGTGTGCTTTTAATTGCTATTCTTTTTCCAGTGTCTTACGGTGGAAGGTTAAGTGCTTGATTTGAAATCTTTCTTCATGGCTGGGTGTGGTGGCTCATGCCTGTAATCTTAGCACTTATGGAGGCAAAGGCAGGCAGATCACTTGAGGCCAGGAGTTCAAGACCAGCCTGGGTAACATGGTGAAGCCTCAACTATACTAAAAATACAAAAATTAGCCAAGCATGGTGGCACATGCCTATAATCCCAGCTACTTGGGAGGCTGAGGCATGAGAATTGCTTGTGCCCAGGAGGTGGAGGTTGCAGTGAGCTGAGATCACGCCACTGCACTCCAGCCTAGGCAACAGAATGAGACTCTGTCTCAAAAACAAACAAACAAAAAACAAACCAAAAAACTTTCTTATTTTTTATTGTGTATATTTAAGGTATACATGATATAACATACACATATACAGTAAAATGGTTACTATAGTGGAACAAATGAACATATATATCCATCATCCTTACATAGTTATACATTTTCCTCTCTGTGGGCAGGAACAGCTATAAGCTACTCATTTAGCAAAAATCCCTAATAAAATACCCTATTACTAACTATAGTCTTCATGTTGTATATTAGATCTTTTTTTTTTTTTTGCATAAAGGAATATAAAACTATTTATTAACCACTGGTTCACCAGTATTTACAATCAAGTAAACAATATACAGTTGGATAACA